TAATTTAATCAGATTTTAGATCAGAAATGATAAAACTATCAACTAATTATTGATTAGTTTATAGTGGTAACATTTCTATCATTATCATTTAATACCTTTGATCATATCGTCTTACGCTGAGCCATTTACAAAGGGGAGGTAATAGCTCAGACAGATAATAATTTATATCTATCTGAATATATTAAAAATAATTCAATGAACTTTTACAAATACTTTTATATTATAAAAGTATTTGTACAAGTTTTGGCACTAATATACATCTCTACCTCCTATTCTTATTACTGATTATGATAGAGAATTTTATGTTGATCATATTTCATACAAAAACATAGGCCTGGAAACCAAAGGAAAGTTCGTTAATTTGATGTTGAAGTTTAAAAAATTACGCTAAAAAACGCTATTATTCGCAATTTTTTAAAAACGTAATTTATAAGTACTAGTAGGGTAATGGTGATTCTTCATCGTTCAATGATGCTCCTAATAGTAAGCCATATAGTAAATATGGCTTAAAACTTGAAAGTGTTGGGCATATACAAAAGCTTGTTAGAAATCGTTTAAGAGAGCAAAGAAAGCAAAATATTTGTGGAAAAAATTAACAGGTATTGGGAACCTCACTAATAATTCTATAATCACTATTCAAAGCTATTTTGGTATGGTGATAAGAGAAACTGCAGATAATAAAAGTTTAAATAAAATATACTAAATGAAAAAAGGTATAAGAGCTGTTCTTTATAAATGTACTAACTTTCCAGACAAATATTGCAAATATTTCTATGTGGATTTATGACGCTGTAAAAAAAAATTTTAGATGACTTTACTTCTTAAAAAATGCATTCATGGAGAGACACAAAATTGTAATAAAGGACTTAATAACATGGTATGGTCTCGATGTCCAAAAATATTTTTGTTATAAGATTTATGCTTGAAGTAGGTGTTAATTCTGCAATATTTTACTTCTTTATGGTACATACGGTCTTAACAGAATTTAAGTTTCTTAAGGTAAAATTTGACTTAAAAAGTTTTTTTGACATTTTATCAAAAAGATACGAAGCGTTTAAAAAAGACAATGTCAAAATTTAAAAAAGTAGAAAAAAATTAAAAGCATTAAAAAAAGTTTGGATAGATATAAAAGAAACTTTATCGCAACAAGCTTATTTATCTGGTGGATTTTAAATATTTTATGTTTTTGTATTTTATTTTTCGTATTTTCTCAGAATTACATTTTAACAATACTCAGTTTTACTTGCAACATGATATTTTAATATTGGGTCAAATTTAGGGTAACCTGGGGCAAAGCGAGACATTTCAGGGAGAATGTTCATAACTTGAGAAGTATCATAATAAATTTTGCTGGCTACTTGCACATTATGTGTTTAACAATCTCTTAAATATTTGTGGTGATAGGTTGTTGCATTGGTACATAAATAAACTCAAAATGGCAACAACTACTCTGTCTCATTTTCCCCAAAACCTGGGGCAAAGTGAGACAGATTTTATTTAAAGAAAAAACTAATTAAAAATATAATTTTCAATAAAAATTAAAGCAGACTTTGATAAATTCGATCTGATTAAATATAAGAACGCAAATAAAAACACAAAGATATAAAAATCAAAAATATAAATAACAAAAATCAAAATCAAAAATAATATCAATAAAAAAAAAATGCATATGCAAATTTTCAAGTCAACACACTTGAATAAAATATTTACACTTAAAAAGCAAACATCGTTTAATGTACAGTCTTCGTGTACCCATACAGTATATATACTACAAGCTATCCAGTCGATTTGGGTATTATTGCACCATTTCTCTTAACAAACTGGATAAAACCATTCTTCTTCATTGTTTACATTTTTTTCAATCAAGCATTTCAATAATTTTCTTTTTTTTTTGTTCTTTTTTATATTTCTCTAATTTAGTTTATTGTCATTGTTCTTTTCAGTAATTTTTTTTTCTTATTGTTCTTTTTTTTTTTTCCTATTGTTTTTTTCTGATTGTTCTTTTCATAAAATGATGATAGCAAGTAAAACTTGCCAAGTTTATAAACTTGCTATCGTAAACGTTTACTTTGACGATTTATTAAGTCTATAAACTTGCTTTCTATAACGTTAACTTTGACGATCTTTTTTAGTAACTAGCGTTGTCGCACTTTCCCCGCAAATGTGAAGTTGTATTTTAGCAAATGAGATATTTCTTAAATATCTCTGAAACAAAATAATCTGACATAAAAAGATAAATGGGAGCTGAAAGATAACAAATATATGATTATAAACTTGATAATATGTTTGTTCTGTGGTAAAAAGTTGCAGCGTACGTGGATTTTTTTCCACACACACAAAAAAAAATTAATTTTGATTTTTTAATCAAATTGACGCAACTCGTAAGTTTTAAACCCACTTTTCTATGTCATATTATAGGAAAAAACTGATGGAAACTACTTTAAAACATTAAAAATATATAAAACTTTTAATACAATAAACCAAAATTACTGTAGCATTTCATAAAAAGTCTGTACAATGCTAGAAAGCCTAAATGTCTCACTTTGCCCCGGTGTCTCGCTTTGCCCCAGGTTACCCTACTTCAAATTTTCAAGAGTTATTTAAAATAACTAGATGAAGGGAATGAATGTAAAAAATTTTATGAAATACATTAAGTTTTTGTCTTTTCAGAGTTTTGACATAGCTCTACCTCTTGAAAATATTGCAAGAAGCAAAAAATATTAAATAAAAAGGCTAAATATTGTTTGTTTCCATTAATTTTAATTCATTCCCTTTATTTTATGTGTTGACAGACAATTGCTAAGTTTCAAAGCTTAAACATTACTATAACTTAAAAAATCGTGTTGCAAGTTTAGAAATTAAATGCTTTATTAGCACGTAATTTTGACAATTTTAAATATCAAAGTTTGCCTTCTTACAAGAGATTCCATTTGTAACTTTTTAATATACTTAGTTCGCAAAGCATCCCCAAAATATACAAAATATACTATAGGGGATTTTAATTATTTTCAAAAGTCAATGGAATGAGGATGGATCATCAATTTTTAAAAATAACTGCGAAATGAGTAACACTGTTTTAGATAGCTTTAATGATAGTTACATTCAGCAGTTTGTATTTGGAACAACGACACAAACTTAAAATCGTTAGTTTGTATTTCAAACCGACGATTTTAAAACAACAAATACATTAGATTTAAACAACGTCTTTAAGACGTTTAAACAACGTATTTACAACGTTAAAACAACGTCTTTTAAACTTCGCGTGTTTACTGGGATAACACAATTCACAACATTTTGTCTAATCGACCTAAAATCTCGAGACAAAGTAAATTACAATTGAATGAAGAAATTATAAATGCTTTACAAAATTTGGGTTTTTCACAAAATTGCATCACAATATTCAACATCAAAAATTTTGATTAAAAAGAAAATTAAAATAAAATAAATGTTTATAAAAGTTTAAAAATAGAGATAAGAAGAATAGGAATTTAAAATAATACTTTATAAAGTCGAATAGAAAAAGTTCATTTGTCTTTAAATTTGCTGCATATATATTAGTGTTATGTCGTAAAGATAAATAAAAATTAAATTTTAAAGATTTAAAGTTAAGATTTCTCTCACGGACGGTTTATACAGATTATGAAGTTTTTATACTATTGACTAAAAAACAACCAATAGTACCAAAAAAAAAACTAATAGTTACACTACCATCCCATCAAAGGAATTATGGCATCAAACCCTTTTGCATTTTTCCCCCACTTTGAAAACTTTTGGCGCGAAAATTAATGCGTTTTTTATAATTTTAAATTTTTAATGAATAAAGGTTTTGATTTTTAGGTAATGTTACAACTAGTTGAACCTCCGACAAAAATTCAGAAAATGATTGAATGCCAATCTTATGAATTACCTGCTAAAATAACAGAAACTCACCAGAAAATAATAAGTATTTGTTTTTGATGATATAGTATTATAAACATTTTTTTTATTATATAAAGAGTAAATTACATTAAAAAAAATAAGCGATAAATTTTACATTCGCAATTTTAGGGTAAAAATGATGAAAATAAATTTATTTTAAATAATCAAGAAAACTTTTGCATACAGTTAAAAGTTTTAGGGTAAAAATGATGAAAATAAATTTATTTTAAATAATCAAGAAAACTTTTGCACACATTTTAGCGGAAGAAGAGGAAAAATACCAATACAACAACTACAGCTGTGATGAAAGTGTTTTATATTTTAAAAAATTATCTGCTAATGCTACAACTCCAATGCGTGGATCTATGCATGCTGCTGGTTAGTTACTTTCAACTGTATAATAGTTAAACTTGAACTTTCAATAGTTAAATATATTGATTTTTTTTTATAATAAAAAAATCTGTTTTCAATGAATTTTTTTTTTTTGAAAAATATTGTATTTGTTTTAGGTTTTGACTTGTTTAGTGCAGAAGAGTTAGTTATTGAGCCAAATAGTCACAAGCTAGTCAAAACAGATATTGCTGTAAAGCTGCCCAAAGGATCTTATGGTAGAGTGGCACCAAGGTATTTCATACTGCATCATTTTACCAATGAATTTTTTTTTATATCATTTAAAAAAAGCTTCTTTCCGGGTGGATGTGTACTCATACACTCCTAATTAGTAAGTCCATAAAAAAATCTTGAAATAAATATTGTTGAAAACCATACCCTGACCATCGGGGTTTGATTTTTTAATATTACTAGTGTTAAAAGTTAAAACTATATATGCGCTGGCCTCATAAACACGAAGTTCCAAGTTTGATCCCCAACACATCCCTGGTACTTGTTATACTTGTTACATGCTTAACTTGTTTCTTTGCGCAGAGACCTTGTTTGTCAAGGTTTGTTTTAAAGTTATATAGTTTAGAGAGGGTTGTAACCACAGCTAAAACAGGGTTTCCACTCCTTAAAAACCTTAAATATCCTTAAAAAATAAATTTCTATAGCATTTCTCATTTTGATTTCAAATAAACAATTCATTTTTCACCATTACATCAACAACCCTCGGAATTAGGGTTGGCTTTCGGCAATGCTGACCTAAATGTCGACCTAAACGTGTTTGCGGTTAGCAAAAAAAACTCAGTTTTGCTGACCTCATTCCGACCTCTAAAAGATTGAAGTAGGCAAATTATTTCCGACCTCAATGGCTATATTAATACTAAGAATTGAACAGTAGAGATTTTAAATTTTATACTAAACTGATGTAGGGATATAAGTGATGTATGAATATAAGTGGAAGATTTTATTAGGACTTGAAGATTTTATTAAGGCTTCTTTTTTTTCCTTTGATTTGTTAAAAAAGAGTTTATTTAAAATAAAAATGACTGAGAATGAGTTTATCAAAATGGGAGTTATTTCAGCTAATACTTGGTTTAAAATAATCACTAAGCTTCTTGCTGCATAATGTGTGCTGTTAAATTTGGCCAAGGCTACAAAAGTGTTGATTTTAGAGCAAATACTAGAAGCGGTTGTCAATTGTTAAAAGACAAATGAATAAAATATTTTGACTGAAAACCTAAAATAATCTTCCTTAAAATAAAATATGATATTTAGTTAATAGTGTTTTTTTCATTATTTGTTTATATTAAATCTGTATTAGTTTTTTACAACCTATACATTTGATAACTGAATAAATAAACAAATTAAACAAGCCATATAAAATAATAAGTTTGTATACAATTTAAATTAATATTTAATAAGTCAAAAATGTTTTTATAACTTTTTGTTTGAATATTTTAATTTTAATTACCTAAAAATTTATTTACTTGTATCGATTTCTCACCAAAAAAAAAAAGTTTCACTGGTACAGAGACAATAAAAAAAAGCTGAATCATTTTTTCTGAAGCATCTATATATATTTAAAAAAAATGTGAAGTACTTGCTAATGTATTAGTCAAAACACCCATGTATTGTATATTTTGTTTGTTTTAAATTTTATATGTTGATTGTACAGCAATACATTTTTATTAAAAAATGTTTGTGTAGCTGCTGTATTAATGCATTTTCTGTATAGGTCTGGATTAGCATTAAAGAGCTTCATTGATGTTGGTGCAGGGGTAGTTGATTACGATTATCGTGGTAATCTTGGTGTTGTTCTATTTAATCATGGTAAAAATCCATTTGTTGTTAAATGTAAGGATCGTATTGCCCAATTCATTGTTGAAAAGATTTATACTCCAAAGCTTATCGAATTAGAGGTAAACTTCAGAAATGACATTTTTTTGTTTTATTAATTGATTTATTTAGAATTGTTTTATTTAATATATTTTAAACTAGAGAATTCAGTTATTGAAATAAAAGAGGGGGGGGGCGTCCATAAAGTACATATTGAAAATCAAAATAAAAAAAAAAGTTCGTACACAGTAAAGGCACTGATTAAGAACCCTCCTCCCTCCTTGTTTGCAACTGTATATTTCAATGACCCCTACATTCTCTGTGTATGTATGCATTATTTATTACAAAACATGGAAATCTGTCCTCTTTGTGTATGCATTATTTTTTACAAAAGACCATTGTGAGATATACACCTTATTTTAAGTAAACGTTTTTAATAAGCTTCTTTGAATGTCTAAATCAGGCTTGGTCGGAAGCAGGTGCGATTACACTATATATTTGACCACACATATAATAATTAGTTATGACTGCATGTCCATGGCTTTTTAGATGTTTTAAGAATATTTCAAAAAGCTCAAAAAAAACCTACCTTGACAGGAGACAACCACTGAAAAAAGAAATGAATTCTTAACATAGAAAAAAAACTTAACTAAAACAAAATAAATTATGTTTAATAGAATAAATTACTTCTAAACTTCTCTCGTTTGTAATTTTTATTACAAAATAAGAGACACTTAAACAAAAAGTAACAATTTACTATTAATGATCATTTAGTAAAGAAACAAACGTTCTTCAATTTATCAAAGCATATAATGTGATTCTTTATTTAAGTATTTATGTTTTATTTCAACAAGATTCTAATGAAACTAACGGTAGTTGAATTATATAATAAATAAAAACGGAAATATATTTTTATAATCATTTCATGCTTTGCATAGTTTGCAGTATATAATATAAGTTTAAAACATTTAAAAAAATTCTTGTTAAGATAAACAAAAGAAATAATTAAATCGTTATGTTTTTATAATTTATAGTCTTTATAATGTTTTATAAGAGGAAGGGGAACTATTTCACAATACCACTGATGTATTTAATGAGAAGGTTTTTTTAATATATTTGTATGTTTTTTGTTCTGTATGGACCGCTGGCGCGGTGCTGGTTCAAACACAAGTCACTTTATATAAATGTATGTTTATGTTTTGTTTGACCCTCTGCGCTGCATTTATCTACTCGTTATTCACTATGTATATATGTATATTTATTTTCAGTCGCCTGTAAACTCCTTTATGTTTATTTTATTATTAGCTTTAGCTTTAATGATTATTATTATTTTTTATTGAAAACGCTGTTGTTTTTAAAAGTCTTCTTTTTATAAAATTGATTGTTCAAACATTTTTAAAAGACTTACATATAAAGAATAAAATATTAATCTATTTTAGTATTGATACTATTATTTATTATAATTCTTAATAAAACTTTATATAATTTAAAAAATTAAATGAAAAATTTTCTTTTTATAAACGATCAATAAAAGTAAATCATCGCTTAGTTTAAAAGCGCTGTGCTAATATTAAAACATTTGATTACAAAAAATTATTTAGAAATTTAATTGTTTTAGAATGTCAAAAAGTTTTGGATATACATGGAAACATACATTAATTTAGATGTTCTCAAAACATATAAGAAGCCATGGCCAAGTTGTCGCAACTAAATATAATCTGTGTGGTCAAGAATAGAGTGCGATAGCACCTGCTTCCTGACCAAGCCTGCTAAATGCTATTTAACAATTTTTTAGTAAAATTATTTTTATACAACCTTACATAGCAATAAATTTGTTGAATCTGTAGCACGAGTAAATGTTTTAATGGCAAAAAAACTTGTGATAATTCTGATAAATAATTACTAAAAGTTTCTTTCAATTAAAAGTTATAAATAATATAAATACATGCAAACATATAAATAAAATTATGCAATGAAAACTTCAAAATAATCTAGGAGATTATTGGGAGAATCTAGAAATATGAATAAAGTACAGATATAAAATTGAAAAAAATTCTATAGTTCTATTTACTTTGACATCTTGCAAACTTTTCTCAGAAATGAGTTTATTAGTTAAAATAAGAACCACTAATCAATGCATTTTTGCTAACACGAAATATTTTTATTTATGCCAGTAGCATAGAAATCGTTTTTTGCATTATGTTGATTTTTGAAGCATTTCTCACAGAGAAAGTTGTCTATATGCTTGAATAAGTGGTAGTAGGTGGGTGAGAGGTACAGCGAGTATGTCGGGTGAGGCAGAGTCTCCTAGTCCAATTCATTTAATTTCTACATAGTTGGTTGTGCGATGTGTAGCATTCATTCAATCATGTAGTGTTGGCATTTTGCCAACTGTTGTCATTGGAGAAAAATTAATTTTTTTCTGTTGATCAATGCAGGGCACATACGTTGAAGCTTCAGGTGCATTTCATTGGTTTGTTGGCTACTTCACTGCTGGTATCGTTTCACCTGGATTCAGGAAGCTGTGGTGTACAGGAGCAGCTCTGGAGCTGGAGCTTAAATATTTCCTGTTGGAGTTGGATCTGGAGCCATGTCCGAGCCAGCTACACTCTTTGATATTTTTAAATATCAAAGTTCCATAAAGTTATTATTTTATACGAGATTTTTTTTCAAAAAATTCAAACAATTAGGCTAATTAAAATATTTATATTATATCTAAATATAACATTTTATCATATGTTTTATAAAAAAACAAAAGGTAAACTAGCAGTTATTATAATATTAAATATTTTATATTATGATATTGATATGACATTTTTTTTTTTTTTTTTGGTTTAAATTTGGTTTTTGTTAATATTTATTTATTCTTTTAAATTATAAAAAGCATAATGCATTATTTGAGTAAACTATATTCTTTATCAATATTACTGTTATATTTTATCAAAATTATTCATAACATCATTGTTTAATGTTCTATATATATATATACAAGCTTTGTTGCTTTTTCTACCCCCAATTGGTTTCTTAACTTAGAATGAACAAGGCCAAAAGTTTTTCTTTCGATTCAAGCACTAGAAGCTAATGCATTTAATAAACCTTCAATATCCATTATGTTACAATCCACAATTTTTAGAGATTTCCACCATTCTATTGGTGATACGTTTTTAAAAACAGATTAACTATACAAATAGCTTTTATCGAATGGAGTAGATTTGGCTTTTAATTTGAATATATGGTAACAAATTCTTGAACTCTATATCTGTAAAATTTTATGGCAGCTTCATTTTCATTTTCAGAAAAATTAGATCCAAAATATCTAGGATCTAGTGTGTTTACCAGGAAATGAGCATCACTGACAGTCTGAAGGTATCTAGATTCGATTTTTTTTTTCTTTTTTCGTTTGATAAAGATGATAAGCTGTTCATCAAATCTTTAAAAATTTCAACAGTGTCACTTATTTTTGTTTGTTCTCTTTGCAACTTATCTAGAGCTACTGCAATTGGTTTTAATATTTTCCATACATCTTCTGTGTTTCACTTTATTTGTAAATCACTTACTTTTTTACCAATCATGAGATCCAAGTCTTTATTTTTTTCAAACATTGTGAAAATGATGCTCCAGTTCTTGACATATTTTTCAAGTGAATCATATACAGAATTCCAGCGAGTTTCAGTTGAAAGTGGCAATTTTGTTCTTCTGCCTAATTTTTAAACTGTTCCAGCTTGATGATTATTTCTCATATATTTTATTATATGTGTAACATGTTTGCTCTTATTTTCAATGTTAAGATCATTTGCTAAAAGATTCAGCATATAAGCAGCACACCCATAAGTTATGATATCTCTTTCAGATGACAGTACTTGTCTCATTGATTTCATATTAGCTGCATTGGCTACAAATTTCCCATTCAATACATTACATTTTTCAATTTCTTCTGTGTAAACCCTATATAATATTTCTCCAATTTGAGTTCTATTAGGTAGAGTGTATCCTGGATGAAGCATATTGATAAATTTTTTAGATTCTTTGTATTCAACTGTTCTGATGCAGAGTTTGTGCTGTATATAAATTGACTAAGTTGCAGATCAAATAAATCTTTCTCTTTGAGGCTTGTTCATGTGAAAAACTTATCAAATTTCAAATATTTATCAGCTGATTTTGAATTGGGCTGAGACCTTTTCATTTCTTGTTTTGATGTTGATGGTGAGTTACCTTTAAAATTTCATTTTAAAGGTAACTCACCATCTATGTCTATATGTGATATTAATTTAAATATATGTTTACAATTTAGGCAAAGTATAAAATTTAAAATGACAATGCTGTAATTTAATTACTTTCAAGAAGTTGTTGATCTTCAATTGACTCCATATTTTTATGTGGTTGTGAGTGCTTGCACTTTTTTACATTTTATACGGATTCTCTGAATTTGACCTTCCATTTCTTTTCTGTATGCATTACAAACTGCTCTACACTCTTTTCTTTCTGTTCCAGAAAGAAAGGAGTCTTGTGTATATTTTAACCAAATCATATCACATTTGCGCCCAGTTCTTTGAGAATTTTTGTGGTATCATTATGTTAGAACTACTTTTACTTTTGCTAAACATATAAATCTCTCTCTCTCTCTCTCTCTCTATATATATATATATATATATATATATATATATATATATATATATATATATATATATATATATATATATATATGTATATATATATATATATATATATATATATATATATATATATATATATATATATATATATATATATATATATATATATATATATATAAAGAAAATTTCCTGATGAAATAAGTTCAGGAAGCGATGCTTCTTGATGAACCTATTGAAGGAGAAACAACCTGTATAAGAAAACAGATAAGTATGTGTTATTACTAATTTATTACTGTTCTGTTCTATAAGAACACTTTTTTAAATCCATGATTTTTGTTTTTGTTTTTTCATATTCTATGAAAAAACAAAAACAAAAATCATGGATTAAAAAAAACACATCTATATTGAAGATATTTGTGAATATAAACCTGTTTTAGTTTTACTGTTGTAAGTTTAAATCTTTTTTAAAAAAACATTAATTTAAACCAACATTTTTTAATTGGTTTAAACCGTTAGGTTAAAACCATGCAACCATCAGAATATAAAATTGTCGAATCTGAAATGAGCCTTATGGCCAAAAGAAAATCTTCATCATTTTTATCACATTCAGAATCATTTTTATCACATTCACAATGTTTCAATACTAAAAAAACAAAGCAGTCTACTTTAGATTCTTTTGCTATCACTAATAGCAGAACAATAAATCAAGCTAGTGCTAAAACTTTTAAAATAGGAATTATTAAAGTGGTTGTGAATAAAGGAGTTTCATTGAAAACATTTGCGGATGAAGGATTTCAGTTGGTTACAGGCCAATTAAGTAAAACTCCTGGATTTAGTACTGGACACAATTCTGTTTACAATTTAAAGGAAATATTGTTACAGAAATTTATTCAATATTATTATGCAGGAAAAAATCAAGTTAAAACTTTGGCACTGATAAAGACTGAAGGACAGCACAATTCTGCTGCTATCAAAAAAATGGTGGAAGAAATTCTTTATAGATTTGGTATCAGCAAAGATCAAATAGTATGTGCAAGTGTAGACAATGCAGCTAATATGATTAGAGCAGTCACACTTTTAAACGAATATTCAGGTGATGAAAATTTTCAAGATGAAGCTTTGCAGGACAAAGAACTATATGAGTTTTTACAACAGGATACAAATGAGGAAGAAAGGGCAGCAGCTTGGGAAGAAAATGTAGCCTTTGTCATCCCAGAATGGTGTCAACAATTGTCTCATGACATTAAGCTGATGCACTGTGTTATTCACTCTTTGCAGCTAACTATTCGGGATGCTTTAAAAAAACCTTTAAATTTCCCTACTTTTGGCAAAAGTCCATTATGTTGTTAAGAAACTAAGAAACTCACATACAATATCATTGGCAAGAAAGCAATACAAGGTCATTCCAATTTCGGATAATGTGACGCGCTGAGGTTCTACATTCCGGATGATCAAACAATTATTACTTTTGCGTCCACTGTGTGAGCAATTTGCTGCAATTGATCAGATATCCTTTCTACGCCCTTTCATTCTACATTCTTTCTAAATATGGAATGAGTTAAGTCGTCTTCACGATCTTTTAAAAAAGCTGTATGATGTGATAGGAATGGTTGAAATTGAAATCTGACCTAGTGAAGAATCAAGGACTAATTGCGGAAGACATTTAAAAATCAATGCAGAAACGAGAAGAAAAACTTTTTGATAATTTCTAGCTGCAGTTTATGTTGAGGCCAAATATAGAATACTGTTGGAAGAAAACCAAATAATACAAGCAAAACAAGGCTTAAAAACAGTAGCAGAAAAAAATTATAAAAGAGGTGCTAAAAATATGATAGAAAGTCAAATAATAAGAAATACTGCTGAGCCGTCTACAACACATTTTTCAGTTTTAAGTGAATCTAATTCTAATGGAGAAGAGGATGAGTTTAAAAAAGAGCTTGATAAAAAAAGAAAAAACGAGAAGTGTGACCAAAATTAGTTTTAATGATAAAAACTTTTAATACAAAAAAACTTTTAATACAAATTTTATGGACGATTGTAGTGTAATGGAAGAAATGGGATTTTTAAAAGTAAAGTCAGCTTTTGAGGGAAATAAAGAGTACCAAAAAAGAATAAAAAAAACGTGCAGTCACTTATGTCTGTCTTACATGCAAGTGTAGAGAGGCTATTTTCTGCACTTAAGTTTATATCGATTGATCAGCGTTCCTCACTCAAACCATATGTTTCAAGACTATATTTTATTTTTAAGGATGAATCAAGATTTTGATTAATAAAATATTAATAGTACTAAAGTTACTGTCATAAAACATTAATAAAACATACAAAAAATAAAACATTGATTTTATTTTTTGTGGAGCTGCTCCGGAGCTGGAGCCAAAAATTCTAATGGAGCTGGAGCCAATTTTCAGACCTCAGCTCCAAAGCCCTGATTGTGTATAAGACCGGTTGCAGTCCACTAAACAGTCACCCTAACCTTTTTTTGATGCAATGCTGGCTTCGGAAAGTGTTGTGGTTGTTGATCTTGATCTAACTACTGATGGTTAATTGGTCGACGTTGAGCTCTTCAACAACCTCTTGTGTGGTTTTGAGAGAATCAGCTTTGATTAACAGCTTTCATTGCTCATTGTCAATGGGTGATGGATGTCTGGCATGAGACTCATTATTAGGCTGGTTTTGCTGGGAGGAAACTTCAGATACCAATGTTGTACCATACATTCATTAATACTTCTTTCGCCCCTAACTTCGTTGATGTTCCAAGCAGTTTAAGCTGCATTACTACATTTCGGAAATTTTATAAACAGAAAAAAAATTACAATAAATTTTGAACATATTTAGAAAGAGCATATGATAAGCTTTCAAATGGTATTACATTGTATAGGTGTATACATATATAATACTACAGATTGAAAACAACGATTTATTGGTCTAAACTTGAGCTAAATTCATAAAATCAAAAATCCTCCATTTATATCGCATCAACCTATTATAAAATATAATGATTATATTGAATATGATAAAATACAAAAAAATCTTGCATACTCATAATTTCTTCTTCATCCTGAAACCAAAAAAGTCTGATATTGTCGTAAATATATTACACAACAACTTTCTACACTCTTTATTCATAATTGGCTGAAACATTGCATAACAAAACTTTGACAGGCATTGTCAAAAGGTATGTTTGTATGATTTTTGAATACAATCAGTTAAATAATTTACCCACTCAAACAAAAAATCAGCATTTAGGTCAAATACTCGCAGCATATGATATTAATAATATGGATCACCACAAATTGAATTTAACGTAAAACTCAAAACAGTTGTTGAAAATTTCATTGATAAATTTAAAATTGTCAAGAGAAGAATAAATTTTTGATGTTTGAAGTTTTTAAAGTAGTGAAATACTTAGAAGCTGATAGTCTTGTCTCAGCCTGTCATATAGTGATCTAGATACTGAATAATATTTAAAAGCACAAATAATTGTTTTTTGATTATATTTTTTTGTCTCTATAATTGTTGGACTCATTGCATCAAAGTGTTTCTAAAACAGAAATTTTATTGATTTATGTTGAAGCACTAAAATATATCTCATAAGTAGTGATTATTAGTTAAAAATTTGGTAACTCCATTTTTTTATAAAGTTTGAATAGTATACTTTATAACAACACATTAAAATCCTTCAAAAGTCTAATTCTCAATTTTCAATAAAACTTTAGGCATTGATGTATTGGGTTCAAAAGTAGTAGAATGTATGCATAGTGTTGCTAATGTACCATGTAAATTAGAGCAAAAACTTAAGACTTACAGTTTCAACCTTTTTAAGATGCTCAAAACTGACTATTTTATCATATTACATTACATTCTTCAGACAAAGTTTTAGTTGTTTAAGATTGACCTGATTTTGTAGGAGCATTACTTTGTTTCACACAAATAATTAATAAAGGTGGGTCATGGATTTCTTTTTATCATATTTAACTATAGTTACATAATTTGGTGGAAAATGACGCTCACATACAGCAATATTGTCACTATGAGGAATGTTATTACATGGTATTAAAGCAATCCATCTAGCGCATTCTTCTTGGTCACTTGGTGATCAAAACACCTTTTCTTTCTTTATTTTATTGTTCCTAATACAACTCATAATGCAACAATTCTATTTTTCAAGTTTTATATTAGCTATAAATATAAAAAAAACATTTATATTTCAGCAATTTATATTTCTTATTATATAAATAAATTTCTTATTTGTTTAAATTTATAAAATGTCAACCATACAATGCAACCTTTATACTAATTTAGTATTAAGTTAAAGTATTTGTTATAAATCAATCATTTATTTCCACAATAAAGTTGTATATATAAATAGTAAGAAATAATCACACAGTTAAACTGATGAAGCGTAATAATTACACAGTTCAATTGATTAAGCATATTTACTTTCAATGTAGTACAGTTATTTAAATAAAAAAAGCTTTATATAAATAAATAGATAAAATATCTAATAAATAATATATATGATAAATATTGTTTAAAATATTGTTTCGCATCTATAAGTTTTTTCTTTTAAACTCTTTAAGTATACAAAACTTTTCACTTAATGCATCATTTTAAACTGGCTATGTTAAATACAAAAAATCTTTAGCAAAACTTTAACAAATAATCAAATTTGAGATAAATACAACAAGTAAATCCACATTCTTAACACACACACACACACACACACACACACACCTTCCCTTGAACACTTCTGTATGCTTTTGGGTACACCTCCCCCTTATTTTCCATCCCCTATATCTGCGTACGTATTTTATTAAAGACCCCAAAGTAGTTAAGAGTAATAAATTTATATATATTTTTTATTTCATGACATTTTAGGATCTTGATGAAACTTTACGAGGTAGTGCAGGATATGGATCGACGGGTACAAGATAAATGTGTTGCATTAAAAAAGATATACCTACTGACATTCATTTTTGTAGTTAAAATATTTAAAAAGAGATATTTATATTTATATTATGTTGTTATTTAATACCATCATTAAGCTATAGGTCTTTTCTTTTTTCTTTTCTTTTCTTTTTTTTTTTTAATTTTTTAAAAAAGACATACCTCCCCACAACAGTGTTTATGTTTTAAAAAAGTGCACACTCCTAAATTAAGTTTTTCTAGCAAGGTATTATAGTGATCACAAAAAAGTGTTTCACAAAATTTAAAAAGCATGTCCCATCAATTAAGAGTGTTTTTTTCATTTTAAAATTGAATAATTAAATAATTTTAAAATAAGTAAACAGTTATATTTGTAATTCTATTATATATATATATATATATGTATATATATATATATATATATATATATATATATATATATATATATATATATATATATCTTCTTGAATAAATTCAGCATAGGGTGACATGAATACTGCGTGCAATAAAAGACTTTAATTATGAACTCAGATGCAAAAATTTAATATCACCCCATTAGATCGTGACGTGAGCATGGCGGTATGATTCAGCAATATAAAGTATTACAAAACATCAATAATATACAATGGATTAAACCACAAATAACTATTTCAGCTTGTGCTTATCAAACTGGATTACAACTAAGATAGGAAATAATAAGAAATTATCAGCCTAGACATCACTTTTTTACTAATCGTATTGTCTCTAAATGAAATGACCTCCCCTAGCAGATAATGAATGCCAAAGATGTTAAGTCTTTCAAGATATTGCTTTATAATATGGACAACTAATTAGCAAAACTTCCACAGGGCGTCATCTACTTACTGTTGACATGCTCCACACTATTTAAACCTTGTTTAAATGTGCTGCAGATTTTTATACTACTACTACTACTACTACTACTACTACTACTACTACTACTACTACTACTACTTCTACTTCTACTTCTACTTCTACTACTATATATATATATATATATATATATATATATATATATATATATATATATATATATATATATATATATATATATATATATATATATATATATATATATATATATATATAGGGGAAGTGGGGGCATAACCGCCCCCGTAACGTTTGGATTAATGTTATTTGAAAATAAAAACGAAATGTGTTTTTTTAACAGTTTATTTCAATAACCACATCATTAAGCTTTAAATTGATGCATTTAAGAAAAAAATTGAACGGGTTTTGAAAATGTTATTACACAAAAATTACACTTAGTGAAAAAAAACGGTTTTGCCCCCATTGTGAGGCACAACCGCACCCTCACAAAAATCGATGGGGCTACACCTTTCATGGTACATTTTTTTTACAATTTTCACAGCTCAGATTATTTGATAATTTTGTTGCATGTTTGCATACTGTGCAGACATTCTTTGTATTTACATTTTGAGTTCTGCCCCAGAAGAGAGTTCTGCCCCAGAAGAGAGTTTTTAGAAAGAATTCAGTTTCATAGCTTAATTATTAGATTATGGTATTATCAAAAATGGCTTTCACTTCATGAAATAATGTTGACAACACATATCTTTAACACTAAAATCAAATATTGCTTAATTTTCAAAAAGAAGGTCAGGAAAAAGAAGCCTTTTTTTTGGTTAATTATTACTTTAATTGTTATTACTTTATTATATAATTTAATTATCTTATATAATTTAATCATATTACATAATATAAATAGATTTTTAAATATTGTATTATATAATAATATTTATATTATATATTTGTGTATTATGCAATATATCAAAATTTATACTTGTGTTACATAATCATATATACTATAACAAAATGTAATATATATGTATTATAAGTATGCTTTTTAATGTAGCTAAAAATTAAATAAACATAAAGTTTAACATATAATGCCTACTTTTCCGGTAACACACTTTGATGCTCGTCATAAATGCTGCTGTATATGCTATCAAAAAGTAGACAGAACACTTTCAGTTACAGCTTTGATACTCATTAAACATTGGTTTAACCTAACTATAACATTGATAATCCATCCTTTGCAACTGCAAATATGCAACACCTGTAACAGAGTATTATTACTACATTGAAAACCCTATGTGGGAAGTGCTTGTTCTCTTCATATACATCCACTTGCAGCATCAGGAGTGGTTCTCTCCGTCTTAACTCTCTGTGATTGAACTATCTGCAAAGTAGTAAAATCAACAAAACCTGAAACAAAAAGAACTAAACCTAAAGAACTAAACCTAAAGGTAGATCAAAAGTTCAGGAAAAACCATCCAAAAAATGTCTATAACTATATGTAATCAATGCTTTCAATCCATTGATTCATTACGAGGTCATACTTGTACAAAGGTTTTTGGTTCAACAAACCTTAGTCAAATGATTGAAAACTCCTTGAATCAAGAAGCAGGAGAAAAATGAGCTGCAGATAATATTAGAGAAAAGTTTAAAGAATCAGAAATTGCAACCCTCAAAACAGGAGGGCGATCCGTTTCAAAAAGATCAAGAAAGTCTACTGCAGAATAGAGTCACAAAGATTTGATGACCATTAATGTTAATAGAAAGTTTTCTGGTTCTGATATGGATGCAATATCAAAAGCAATTCGGGTTAAGCACAGTCGAAAATCTGTTAAAAATATAAAAATGATTTTTTAGTAGAGTACTTCTCAGCAGTTGACTTTTATTTCTATAATTCGGAGACTGAAACTTTAATTGTGCGACCTGTTCTTGTTAAAGATGTGGAAGAACTTACCTGGAAAATGATTGAAAAAAGAAAACAAGATGCTTTTAATGTTAAGGTGATAGTATTTGTTGATGGCGATGGAGGTTTCTTTAAGCTTGGAGTTGGTACTATTGATGTGGCAAGTTATTTTAGTGATAATATTATCAAGAGATCAAACTATTCCGAGGGCATTTGTCCCAACCTGAAAAAAGAAATGTCCGTTAATCAGACATTACTCATAGGAATAGTCCCAAATATTCAGAAGAATTATAAAACTGTGCTGTCTTTTTCAAAATTATTGACTTTAGAAATATTCAGTTTAAAATTTGTGCTAGTTTTAAACTGCTTAACTAAATTTTAGGACTTAAAAATCATAGTTCAAAGTATCCTTGTTGCTTCTGTAATAAGAGTACAGATTGTGTAGATTGGCTTTACTCTAGAGGAGATAAACGAACCTTTGGATCAATTAGAGAGTAAAATCTTGCTTGGAATCAAGGGTGTAATTCTGACTCATCACTGAAGGAATTTTATAATTGCAAGAATCAACCACTTCTGCCAGGAGATGATGAAACTAAAGTTATGGAAGTATGCAATATAACCGAACTTCATCTCTATACAGGAACAATTAATCTATTGTGGAATAATCTATCAACAAGATAAGGGACAAGAAAAATTGGAAATCTTCTTAGAAAGGAATTTTCTTGTCAGACAAAAGCTTCACCGTGGAGAGTTTGAAAGAAACCAGTGTAAGAAAATGATGAGATTAACAAATAAGCATAGAGATGCTCTTCCTGAAGATCTTAGGGGATTCTGTGATGCCTTTGATGCTTTTGATACTGTGGCTTACTTGTGTTTTAGCAAGATACTCTATGGATTTTGAAAAAGCAATAAATGATTTTTTTGATATTTTTATTACTTTGGAGATCAAAACAAAGAGTACCAAACTCCATATATTATTTTGCCATTTAAAGGAGTTTTGTAGAAACAATGAATACGGACTGGGGATTTACAGGGAACAAGCAGGAGAAACTATTCACTCGAGATTCAATAAGTTTTAAAAATACAAACTTCCGAGTGATTTCCACAAAGAAACATACAAAAACGATCTATTTCATGTTGTTCTTTCATACAACGCGGGGAGAATTTGAGGCTTTGTTATGTTCAGTCTATATCAGCTAACAAAATGTTTAAACTAAATTATTTTATTATTAATTTTGATAGTATTCTTTAATTTATTGATCTGAAATATAATATGTTATTTTAAATAATGGTATTTATTAAAAAATTAGCTTATTAGCTACTAGTCTATGCCTTAAATAAGTTCTTCTACGAACTTCATTCTAAACCTGTGGTTTTTCTGTATATGTTAATGAGAGAAAAACACTTTTATATCACAATAAGCAACATTTTTTTCAGGACACACTTTTCAAAATTGTGAAATAATTTTATTGTGTACTCTTTAATCATACACGTGCACTTTTTGAAACATAAACACTGTTGTGGGGAGGTGTAAAGGTTAAATGTGATAAAGAAAGAAAAAAACAGTAAAGTGTCATAAAGAATTTTAACTGTGATCGTCAAAGTTATAATTCTTTGTGACAAAAATAATTTATAATTCTTTATTAAATCTTATTTTTCCTACAAGTTTTTAGTTTAATTTTTTACTATTTTTTTTAATAAATCTTTATATTTATTTTTTAAAATTTGTTAGTTTATAGGTATATTAAAGTTATTTAAAAAAAATGTTATCAACTGGTCGCATCATAAAGGAATTTCAAATAGCTGATATTAAAAACATAATTCCTAAGTTGTCATCCAGTTTGCACAAAGGGCAATGTGGGCGTATTGGAGTAATTGGTGGCAGCTCCGAATACACAGGTGCTCCTTACTTTGCAGCTATGACTGCATTACGTTTAGGTGCTGATATTGTCCATGTTTTTTGCTCTTCAGCTGCAGGGACTGCTATTAAAAGTTACAGTCCAGATTTAATTGTTCATCCCATTCTAGATGATGATACAGTTTTAAAACAGTTAAGAATGTGGTTACCAAGATTGCATTGTGTAGTATTTGGGCCAGGTTTAGGGCGTGAAAAGATTAGTTTGTACTCAGATATTCTTGATCTTTTAAAGCAGTTTGGAAAGCCTACTGTTGTTGATGCAGATGGTTTATATGTCATATCAGAATTACCAAATCTTTTAAAAGATTTTAAGAATGTTATATTGACTCCAAATGCTTCTGAGTTTAAAAGACTTTTAGATTCTTTAACTATCAATAATATGCCAGAAAGTGAACAGTTAAACAGCTTTTTTAAAAGTTATAGAGATGTAACACTTGTAAAAAAAGGAAATAATGATGAAATTATAAACTTCAAATCATATTCTTGTGTCACTGGTGGAAGTGTATGTCGATGTGGTGGCCAAGGTGATGTTTTAGCAGGTTCTATAGCTCTTTTTAGTTGTTGGGCTGATTTAGCTAAATCTAATGATCCACTTACTTTGGGAGCTTATAGTGGATGTCTTTTTACCAAGACATTAAGTAGCCATGTATTTAAACATTATGGTCGTTCAATGATTACAAATGATTTTTTTCCGAAAATACATAATGTATTTAAAGATATGTTTGGTGAGGAATAGTATTTTATGAACAGTTTAAACTATCTAATTTGAAAAACAACAAAAAGTGTATTTGTATACAATCAAGAACATCTCTTTTTTTCCCCTTTGTGCTTGTGTGTGTGTGTGCAAGTTTTGTTTTACCAATGCAGCTTTTTTTTAATAAAATGATTTTTATGCAATTGAGTTAAATTAAGAAATAGTTGTTGTGTGAAATTTTGGTTAACTTAAAAATATAAACCAAAACATATTTATTAAATTTAATACTTTTAAACAATAAACTTGCATTTTGGCTCTTAGATAGTTTTTGTATATCTTTTATTTGTATTTTTGTTTTTATAAATTTTTGGTTTTTTGTTATTTGAAAATTTTTTTTGGTTTTTTATTATTTATTTGCAACTGTTATATAATTATTTTTTTAACAGTTATATAAATATTTAAAAAAACAGTCTCAAGTTTTGAAATACATTTTATTTTTTTTTTGTAAATTTATGTGTGCATTATATTCTTTTATAAAATTATAGATTTTAGGTTTTTTCATTCTTAATACTTTTATTACATTCTTATTTCTTAATATACTATACTACTATATTAAACTATAGTTTTTTCTTGTCAAATAGGTTACAAATACATACAAATATAATTCTTAAATACTAGATACTAAAGTTTTGATTTTTTTTTTTTTTTTGTCAATTTGTCAGAATCTGTATTTGTAACACTAAGCCAAAAATTAACTTTCATCTATTGATGTTTCTTTTTTGAAAACATTAGATTCTAACAAAGAATTAAGTAACTATAGGTTATCCATGTTTTATAGGTTATAAACCATGTTTTCATTTAAGTTAGTGCAAAAAATCTTTTTTTTCTTTTGGCAAGTTGAACATCTTTCTGAATACCATCACAAAGTATAACTCTTTAAGTAATATTCTTTTAGATTTTGTATCTGATTTCCCTCCCACATTTTCAAAATTCTTAAAAGAGAAATTCTCATATTCAAATTTACTTTTTTGTTTTGTTTTGAAGAAGTTGCGAATGAGTAAAAAAAATCATTTAGTAACTTGTTTTCTGGAAATAAAACTAGTTATTAAGTTTCAGATTGATTGAAAGTTTCAGACTATAAAGAACTACTTTTAATTGAAAGTTTGAATTTAAAAAGCTGATGCTACTTGTTCACTATATTTTTTGTTCCTCTGAATAAGATGGTTCACAACTTAAGAAAGATTAGTTAATATCTTTTCTTAAGTTAAAATGCATTATAAGTACCATGTATTAGACAGTTAAACAAGTACTTCAAATGAAAAACCTTTTTTACATTTTATTATATTTAATAGTTAAAAATATCTTTATATTTATATATATACTTATATGTATGTATGTATGTATATATATATATATATATATATATATATATATATATATATATATATATATATATATATATATATATACATATATATATATATATATATATATATATATATATATATATATATATATATATATATATATATATATACATACATACATACATACATACATACATACATACATACATACATACATACATACATACATATGATTTTCTTGATTTAATTTAAATAAACCTATGGCATAAATAATATGTGTGGTATTTACAAATAATATCTCTGATATTCATTTGCTAATCACTTCCCAATTTTTTGTGTCTTCACTGTTTAATGCATAAATGTTAGTTGCACATGATGGAACATATACTCTTGTATATATGCTCCATCATGTGCAACTAACTTTTTTTTCTGCATCATTCTCTATACAAGGTTTTAAATGTTTCTCTTTTCCAGGAGTGATTTTTGAAACTTTTTCAGTTTACAAAATATATGCACATATTGCTTGACAATATGTGCATAAGTTTGAACATTCTGCATTTTTTACAGAACCTTTTAATTGATATTGGCTATTTTCAGAGAAGTTTAGAAAATTCATAAAAATAAATTACTATAAAGTTTTTAATGAATAATATTCTTAAGCATTATTTATTTAAATATGTTAAAGAAAAAAAAAAAAATTTAAATCATATATGAATGTAAAAAAACATCAAGCACAAAATGACAAATTAAGTTTCAACCATTTTGGTAAATTTTCATTGAAAATTATATTATTATAAAAATAATATTTTTTTATGTTTTATTTTACAAAATTATGTTTTATTTGACAACAATATTTAGTAAACTTTATCATTTTTTTAAAAGGTTTTTGAAGTGAAGCAATATTTTTGCTTATCAATTAGTTTTGATTTATAAAACAGTTATAAAACAACTTTTTTAAATTTGATAATAATAGTCACCAAAAAAATTGAACTAAATTGAAATTAAAGCAAACACAAATCAAGTGAACTCTTTTTTTCACTTTTTAGTTTCTAGTTTTGCAGAAATTATCTGCAGGAACTACTAATTTTTTTGGCTTTGACAAAAATTAGAGGATTGGATCAGCTCTGCAATCAGAGTGATTAGTACAAAATTTGTTAGATAAATATAGAAAGCAAGTCAAGGTGATTTGTATAAATTTTTTTGATGATTTCTGTTGATTAATTTTCTTAAAAGTTTACTATGCAGTTTTCATCTTATATCTTTTATTTTCAGGAAAATATAAGCAGTACTATGTTCAATTTTTCAATTCTTTTTTATATGATTTATACAGTCAGTTTTTCCAATCAGATAAATGACTTTCATGTTGAGGTTTGTATTTGTCCTTTATATTCAAGTGTAACATATATATTGAGGTTTGTATTTGTCCTTTATATTCAAGTGTAATATATATATATATATATATATATATATATATATATATATATATATATATATATATATATATATATATATATATATATATATATAATATATATATATATGTATGTATGTATGTATATATATATATATATATATATATATATATGTATGTATGTATATATATGTATATATGTATGTATATGTATATATGTATGTATATATGTATGTATATATATAAATATATATATATATGTTTATATATATATACATATATATATATATATATGTTTATATATATATACATATATATATATATATATATATATATATATATATATATATATATATATATATATATATATATATATATATATATATATATATATATATATATATATATATGTATATATATATGTTTATATATATATACATACATATATATATATATATGTATGTATATATATATAAATATATATATATATGTTTATATATATATACATACATATATATATATATATATATATATATATATATATATATATATATATATATATATATATATATGTATATATATATATATATATATATATATATATATATATATATATATATATATATATATATATATGTATATATATATATATGTTTATATATATATACAACCCTCAGAATTAGGGTCGGCATTCGGCAATGCTGACCTAACTGCCGACCTGAAAGTGCTTAAATTGTAGACCTGAGGTCGGCTTAAATTGCCAACCTCGTTTTTATGTTTTATGGTCAGACCTTTGTATCAAATAATCTATGCCAACCTTATGCTGACCTCAAAAAGATTGAGGTCAGCATTTATTAAAAAGATTGAGGTTGGCAATTATTGACGACCTCATTTTTTCTAATTCCGAGGATTGTATATATATATATATATATATGTATATATATATGTATATATATATATATATATATATATATATATATATATATATATATATATATATATATATATATATATATATATATATATATATATATAATATTCAGACCATGAAACAAATCTTAATAAACATTTAAAAAAAAAATGCAGTTAAATTATCATTAAAGTATGTTTGTTTTATTTTACTTTTACTGTATTAAATTTTATAGTGTTCTGGAACATATTGCTTTGTTTTTGTATAGAGCTCTGGAATAAATCCTGTACAAGTAGATGATATCGGGATAAGGTTTTGTAAGTTTAGAAAGTTATCATCAAACAGATTTTATTAACATTTTGACAACATCTTCTTTCTCATTGAGTTTATTTTAAAAGTTTATGAGTTTATTGAACATCAATTTTTGTTTTAATTAAATTTTTCTTTGTTTAGAACTTACCATTTTTTTCTATTTTTCCATTTGTTTTTCATATACGTTTTGTTCTTTTATGTCTATTAAAGACATAACGTTTGTTGATATGTTTTTTGCATTATTTTATATCATTTTTATTTATCTTTTCATTATATTAGTGTATTTGTTTTGTTTATATTTCTTTATATTTTTTATGTTTGTTAATATTATCTTATGCACATTTTATTTTAATAATAAAAGTTTTATCCTTTTTGCTGTCGTTGTTAGACATAGTGTGTGATTTTTTTTAAAACCAACAACAATAGATAGGCATACAAACAATAGATAGTACAAACAAATTTTAGATGTTAGTATAAATCTGCATAAACATTTAATTTGATTCTTAAAAATTATGATGATAATAAAATGAATACATATTTTTATTGCTATTATATCACAGTTTATTTACTGATTTGTGTTAATTATATTTTTTACAATATCAAATAAAAAATTTAATTAAATATAAAAATTAGTACATGTAAAGTATCTAAAATATTTTCAAGCTAAAACTTTTTTTGATGTGTTTAAATTTTTTCCTTGCATTTAAGATTTAGAGGTGGGAAACTATGGTACAAAAAAAGTGACAGTTACTAAGGCATATAATCCAGAATGCTGCTGGATAGTGGAACCTGATGATTTAGATTGTGAAGTCAGTTTTTACATGTTTTTTATTACTTTTTTGATAAATATTTAATGATTTTTATTAGCTGTTAAATTTTTTAAAATTTAAGTTAACATAGTCTTTTTTAAGGTCAATGTTAATCATGTTAAATGTTTTATATAATTTCACATACACCCATTCGCATCATCTGTCATTAATTGAATCATCATCTTCATCATCTTTTCTTTCTATACATTGGCCATCCTTCATTTTCTGTTTTTAAACCAATACTGTCCTCTTTGAAAAAGCTTTCAAAACAGCAATAAAAAGCCAAAGACTAAGTACTGAACATAAAGGTTCAGTACGTAGTCACACCAACCTTTACTACCAAATAATCGCTTACTCCATCTTTTGATTTGATTGTTGCTGTGTTTTTTTTATACATACTCTTGATCACTGTTCATTCTTTAACATCCAAATACTATGATGGCTCTTTTGGTACTCTATTGAAAGCTTTCAAAGTAAACATATGCCATCAACTGATTTTTTTTGTTTGTTTGTTTTTCTTTTCCTGAAATTTTTTGATTGCCTTACAATAATCATTACATCTGCTGTTCTTTTACTTAGAATGATTGATAAATTACTAACTTTGTTTCTTTTCAGTCAATGGAGTTGTATGGTGGTTTCACAATAGATATTGATGTTGGTAAAAAGTTGAATGTTACTTATACCTTTCCAAACATTGTAGGTATCTTTTTTATGTTAATTTATAAAACATTGTAGTTTTTTATTCATGTTTGTTTTATGTTTTTTTCTAAAAATTATAAATTACAAATTTAATATTTAAAAATTTTTAAATTATGATTTATGTAAACATATTTTAAGATTCACTGTTAAAATATACTGTATCATAATTTAGATCAGAGGGCTTTAAACTGGTTCTTACCTTAAGTAAGTGACCAGGGACCCGGCTAAAAATGATACTTTTTGCAAACCTGGCCCCGACAGAATTATAAGATTTAGCAGGGGTTGATAGCCAGGGCTAGAAAAAATTTATAATACTTTTTGTATTATAATTTTATATTTACATTTACTATTTGTTACATACTGTCATGTATTTATATATTTTAAAACTCTTTTAAAACCAGATTGCAAGCAATCATTATCAAGTTATGAGTTACTTTAAAATAGAGGACAGGTTAAAATACGATTTATTAAAAATAAAAACACAAAGATGGGGATGAGTTAAAAGGCTTTTTTGATGTGCAAGGACAAACAACTGAATTAATTAATGTTTTTATAGCATGAAGAGACAGATACAGTAAAAATATGCAACTTGTTGAATAAGAAGCCAAGTAAGAATGAGTTTTGGTTTATCGTAATAGTGATGATTTTTGTTTGATCATTAACCATGACAGTATTTGTAGAAAAAAGAAAAAAGCTTAACCATACATCAATGGGAGAGTGGTTCAAGCTTGGCAGATCTAACTACATTTACAATGTGCTTTTAGATTTTGTCTGAGAGTAAGAGAGTTGTTATCTATCAATATAGGAATGCCAACAATATTTCAATATTTTTTGAAGTAAATGAGTTTTGTTGCCTTAAAAAATTTAAATCTACAAGCCACTGCAAACCATAGCCTGTTAAAAAAGAGAGATCAGATTAAAAACCGGCTGCTTGTTCTAAGCAATCAAAAAGTGAAGATTTTTTGTCAAGACAAGAGTATAAAGTTGAATCCTTAGCTAATAGAGGTACTTTAGATGTAAGATTTTCATGAAGATTGTTATTGTAGATATGAAACATTACAGGAGCAAAAATAAAACTTTGTGGTACCCTTAAAGTTACTGTAGGCCTTCAAGAATAACTTTAATTCCGCAGTACTGTAGGCCTTCCAGAATAACTTTAATTCTGCAGTTAGAAAAAATGATTTAATAATCTCAAAAACTTTATGTAAAGAAACTAATGAAAGAGTGAAGACTAATTGTAGGGTAGTTGGAGAGGTCAAAGTGTTCTCTAGAGTTAATAACCACTTATTTAGCACTTTTTAGAAGTTTAGCAAAAATTGAAGAGAGTTCTGAAGAACACTTTTTTAAGACTATGATAGAAATCTTGTCTGGAGCACAAGCTGTAGAATTGTACAATTGAGAATTAACTTTAGCATTAGAAGCAATAGTGGTTTAACTGTCAGGAAGAATATGGCCATTATATTCAAGGGTCAAATTAGTAAAGAGTAAGATTTTTTTGCAAAAAAAATTCTGCCTTATTCTGGGGAGAAGTAAAAAGTTAAATCCATGAATTAGAGATTAAATTTTAGACTTACTTTAGTTAATGACACTGTTGAAGACTTACCAAGAGTCTCTTTATCCTAACATCTGTGATAAAAAAAAAAAAGATATAGTAACTTTTAGAATAACAGAGCTTAACATTAGACAGGACCTTTTTCTATTGGCCATTGGCTTCTTGGAATAATAAAAGAACATTTGTTTATAAGCGAGATGTTCTTGTAAAAAATATGTAAAAAATGATTACTGTTTAATAAAGCAACTTCTCAAGATGGTAAAAACTGCGGAGTAGAATAAGGCTTGACTTAATATTTAAGAGACGAAATAGAAGCTTCCAAACATTTATTCCAGAAGGAATAAAGGTTCCAAGATGCGCATTATGTAATAAAAGTAATAAAACCTGAAGAGAGTTCAGCTCAATTAACTTTATTTTTTAACAGGTCCCTAATATTAAAAAAAAAAAAGGTTTTTGAAAACGTCTTGTTGGGTCTTAAAAGTAGACAAATCATATTTTAAAAAAATATATGATTTCATACTTCAGTTATTATTTTAGATTTAATTGCATAAAAACTATGGTTTTTTACTGGACATAAAAAAAGTGCATTTTTACATGTTTTTAATAAAAAAAATTTATTAATTAATAAATTTTTTATAAAACAAATATATATTTTTTAATTTATATATTATTTTCTTTTACCTACTTTTAAAGACCTACTTTTAAAGAACTTTTTTTTTTAAATAAGGCTACCATTAAAAAGTAAAGTTAATTGAGCTGTATTTATATATATATATATATATATATATATATATATATATATATATATATATATATATATATATATATATATATATATATATATATATATATATATATATATATATAATATATATACACACATACATATACACACACACGCATATATATATATATATATATAATATATATATATATATATATATATATATATACACACATACATATACACACACACGCATATATAAATATATATATATATATATATATATATATATATATATATATATATATATATATAGATAGATAGATAGATAGATAGATATAGCCTCGTGTTCTTTATTTGTCAAGCTTTATGTTTCTTATTTATTAAACTAATAAAAGATTATAAAAAATGAATACTTTCCTTGGTTATAGTGGCTTCCTCATCTTACTACTCTAGCTTTATGCATTATATTTGCATGTTTTCTAATTTAAACTTTTATGTCTAAGTATCCAATGGATAGAATTGGTGTGTGCAAATTCTTTTTAAAGACTCTTGAAAGTGATGTTGTAATGCATCCAATAAATTTTAACACATCAACTGGACCTGAAGTTGGTTCTTTTATGCAAAGTAAGTATTTTGAACATTTCTTACTTAATTTCAAAATAAATTTGAAAAACAAAATTACTAAGCTAGTTTGTTTGTTATGTTTTTATAATATTATTGGTTGCATTAATTTTTTTTTTCTAATTAATATAGGATTATATGATGATGGTCCTCTTGTATATCGTAAATGCAGCGGTGTAGATGAAGTATGTGGCTTGTATTACATAAGTTTTATATTAAATACAAATTAATTTACAGTAATAATCAATCTTGTTATTAAACTATTTAGAATCCAAGAAATTCCTGTCAGCCGTTTATATGCTATAAAAAATATGGTGGTTTTAGGAATTATTATGATAATAATATTGCTAAATGTGTCAAAGTTAATAGATGTAAAACAGAACTTGGAGCAGATGATCTTCCTACATCTGTAAATCTTCAAAGTTTATTTTTATTTTTTGTTATATATTATTAAAGTTGAGTAGTGAAGACAAACAAATTCAATATCAATTACTTTAATCTAATTAATTTTTATTAAAATAGTGAATAAGCATTACCTTTTTTTTTTCAATTTAGGCATTCGACTACGACAACAATGCTTGCAAAAGTTTAATTGATAATCAATTATCAAGTGAAGACAAAAGAACTATCTCAGAAATCATTGAAAGTAGTTCTCTTTTTCAAAATTTGAATCCTTACATAGATGTTGCGCATGAAGATGTAGGATTTTTTATTTTAATGTGATTTTATAACTGAAAATATTAAAAGTGGTAATTTATGTGAGTGAAAAACAGTTGCGAAAACTTGGCTTAACTGGCACAAGTGCCAAACAGTTTTAAATCTTTTAATAAACGAAAATAAATAAAAAGTGAATTTGCAGCTTTTATGACCATAATTAAATACAGTAGATTAAATACAGTAAATACAGTACATAATTAAATACAGTAGATAAGTATTTTACTGTGAGCGTCTCTTTCTATTGATTAAACATTGCTTAAACTTTATTTTTTTTTTATGAATTTTTTTCATGGAAAAACTTACCCGAATTCGCATATAAACCGTTTCTGGGCGCACTTGTGGCAATTTACACATGTTATTTCTCATGTAATGTTTTGCAATGCTTCGCACTTAAATTTATACTTGTAAAATTTGTATTTAATCAGCTTCTCGGGTGTAAATTATTATTTTCTAAAGTATTTTGTTTTTAAATTTGCATAAAATGAAAATACGTGACATAAATTTTGCGGTTTCTCTGTAGTTGATATTAAAGTGTAATCATGGTGTACAGAAAGGAACTTACTGTCAATGTAACGACGGATGGACTTCAGTAATGGAAAAGTTGGGTGATGGCAAAACAAAAATGACATGGTGCTCCAAAAGTTTTGTACCAAGCAGCCCACTTAAATTCTCACTGCTTGTTGTATCTTTTCAGTTAAAAAAAGAAATTTTATATGCATAAGTGAAATAATAAATTTTACATAAAACGGCATAGTTTTAATATGTAATAATAAAAACATTAAGCTGTATTTGTAAAATCATGTCTTAAGGTTGCGCCTACAATTAGGTAAGTCATGTGAAATGAATTGTATTTTTGTATATTTGTTTTCTTCAGCACTTCTTTTTCTCCTATTGTCTTTGTGGATATGTTTATTATATTTAAAAGAAAGGTAAAAGAACTAAATCAAATATAATTTAAACAGCGTTACAACGGTTTCATTTTGCCGCTAAACGCTTTTCAGCAAGCGAAATGCGTATGGGAAGCAAGAAATACGCTGAAACCAAATTAAAATTTCGGATATATTAGTTCAATACCGAAACTGACGTTTCGGCAAATATTTTACCGAAACTAATACTAAAGTTTTGACCAAAATCGAAACAGAATTTTGATCAATCACTACTCTTAAACTTAGCAATGTGTTAAAAAAATGAATGAAACTTGTTCTTAAAATTTACTGAAGGTTATAATGAAAGTATGTTTATTGCTAATCGAAAATAAAATATTTTGTTCTAAATTTAAATTACTGATATAAATTTTTGTTAATATATTTTGAATTATATATAGAATAATTTTGAATTGAATTTTACTTATGTTTATTTTTTACAATGTTTTCAAGAATCTCAAGATTATATTTTAAATTTTATTCAAAATGATATATATTATTTGTATTTAATTTAGTACTTGTTAAAAGAATAGCGTTTTGATTTATAGTTTTTCTTTAACCATCTTTTTAGATATCCATCCTTGTGGCAATAATTTTGTTTTTATTGCTTCTTTACTTATGGTGTTGGTTGTTTATGTGTAAAACAGTTCAAGCAAATTTTTCGTTATTTTCTCGTTACTTTCCACGCACAAAATTAGATTTTCCGTTTCAATATAATCCGCTTTGGGTAATCGGTGATGAGACTTTTAATACAGACAAAATGTTATTTGATGTCATTGATGAGCCCGAAGACATAAACAAATCGGATTCTGAAAAAGGTAAAAATGGTGTCTTGTTTGATAAATCGTGGTAATTATTTTAATTAAAATGAAATTCCAGATTTTATTTAATACGTCAGAGAATACTTTGCCGCAAGATTGTCGTAGTTTACTTAAATAAATAGTGAAAAAAGTTGCAATTTTTAAAATAAGATGGACAACGTGTTCATGTAATTTTTAACGTTTCAGTATTTGTAAATATTTGTTATTTAAAAAAGTTCATTGTTAAAAATACGTTTTTAGACTTTTGCTTTGATAAGTGTTGCTCGGTTACTTATTTATGAACTGTATTATTGATATAAATTCGTTGTAATTATAAAATTACTTTAAATCTAAGTTTTCAACGAGTATGGGTTCAAATTCGATTTTAATTTATATCTATAAAAGATAATTGGTTAGGTAAGAAGTAATGTGTTGTGCTCTTATGTAGCGTTATTGTCCTTTATATAACGTTCTATCATGGCCTACTATATTTACGGCCGTATATCTTACATGTTTGAGGGGGAAATTAAAAGGCCTATTTTTTACTGAAAAAATGGCTGCGCATAATATTATATTTTTAAAAAGCAACTATATTCTTAATTTTTAACTTAAAGTTCTTCAATGTAAAAATCGCAGTTGTTTTTAATATATATACTTTTTAAGATATCAAAGATTTAAAGACATTTGTGTAATATTTGTTAGAAAATGGCCACATAAATTATTCAAATCAATATACATTTATATCTCTGTATATTATATTTATATATTATATGTCAAGAAGTAGTTCAAAAGTAGTATAAAAATGTCAAGAAGTAGTTCAAAAAAATCAAACAACAGGTAAATTTTATTAAACTATACACACCCTGTAAATACCCATGATAACATCACCCGAAAGGACCGAATAAATCCTTTTAGGTGGGCATTATATAGACCTTGTGTGAACATTTAGAGCCATTTTTGAAATCTTTTAACTACGTCCGAGCCATTTTTTTCATTTTAAAGTTATATAGTAAAAATAACCAAAAATCCAATATTTTCCAAAAAAATAAACTGCTTAAACTCATAATTTACAGTGATTTTTTAAGCTGTTGGTATTTAGAGATCACTATACAATAACTTTAAATCATTTCAAACATTCAAAATTTTGTCAGAGCCATTTTTCTTATTTTAAAGCTCTTTTGTAAAATAAACACAAAGTGTAAAATTCAGTATAGTATATTTTCACAATCATCTTCATCTGAACAATATTTATGATAAAAAATAAACAGATTCTTACATATTGCAAGTTAGAGACTAGAACTAAAAGCTTTCTTTATAAAATACAAAAGTTCAAAAACAGTTTTTTAATTTCTTAAAAAAAATTCTAAAATGTGCAATTTCTGATTTTTTATTCCAAGACATATTTCTGAAAAAAGTTGAGTTTGGAGGTGTTTGTTACAGATGCTTGCTGTTATAGTCAAAAACACAATTGAAGGGTTGTTTCCCATAATCTGGCTGAGTTGGGATTCGCTTGTACCGCTCCCAATGAAACTTGAACCTTGAATGCATTGCTTCGGTTGCTTGCTCGCTGAAGATTCGGAGGGAGGTTTGATGTTTTTCTGCAAATTCTGAAACATGGTAGAAAACAGCATGTACCTTAAGAGTCACGGAGATTGGCAAGAATAGGAAAGAAGTTTTAAACTTCTGAATCTTTTCTTTATAGTCTTCCTGCAGAGTTGTTCCAAAGCATGAAGTAACAACTTCTTTGAAATGTCTGAGAGTTTCAATGAAACCAAATGCTTGATAGGCACAAGCTTTTTCTGCCAGCATTTGGAGAATGTCAAGGTTTTGCAAAAGCTTATGACATTCATTGCCAGCAAAGTGTTCGCCATGGTATGGCTGGAGCTGAATGTGCAACAAAGTTGGCCATTTTTTTGGCACCAGGCCATAAATCAGAAAGATTCTTGTAAAGATGATTGACAATTCCAAGAAGTAAATGGAGTTCCATTGGTGGAATCACATCCAAAATGAGTGTTGAGTCATCCATGCTAATCAGTGGTAGATGGATAACATTGTCAAAATCTTTTGCTGATTTCGTATCTGATCCAGCTGCAACAAAGGCTTCAAATTTTTCCTTCATTGATCCAAAATTTCTGGAAGTTCCACATTCTGACAGATTGTCAGAATCAATGTTGCACCAGCAACAAGGGTGTTTGCTTGAATGGGATTGAATTCCACAAATGATGTTGGCCATTTTGAGATTGCATGAAATGCAGAATGAAACATCATTTAATTGAATGATGTTCATCATCACTTTAACGTTCTCGTATGTTTCAGAAACATTTTCAGCGATGGCAACTATGAGTTGACGCTTGACACCTGTGTCTCTGGCAGTTGAGCTTGTCAGCAAGCGAAGACTTTTTGGTTGAGGACTTCTTGTTTCGTCATCTTCATCAGTTACCTTGATAACTGATAAGCTCATTTTCAAGAATGATCTTCCTCCATCAATGCCAAGCTTGACAAAATGATTGTAGCCGTATTCCCTTGACAGCAGCACCTTGTTGGTTAAGTCCTCAAGATTTTTGCAGTGAACGATTGCTCTCTTATCTTCAGTTTTTCCTTTTTCTGCTGAAATGTCAACAACTGAGAGTTGAAAAAAATTGTTCAACGACTTTCCTACAGCAGCAAACTTTTGCTGGAAAAATGGCTCAACAAGTTGAGTTTCTGTTGATTTGTTAAGTGTTGAGGCAAGTTGTCGTATTCCTGTGTTGAATAGTCCTGTGTTCAACTGAACATTTAACAAGCTTTGCATTGTAAGTGTTGAACTGGTTGATTTGTGTGCAGATGCTGGGCCTAAAAAGCAAATGAGATAAATTTAACAACTTATTTTGATTACTTGTAAACTAGCTGGGGTGACCCGTAAAATACGGGTCTTTACCGAACCGACCATTTTTATACTTATCTATAGCTATCCGGACGTAAACTAAGGGTCTTAGTAAATCTATTCCACACCGACCTTTTCTATACTTATTCCTTACCTCAATATTTTTTTAAAACCGTTTAAAAATGTACATATAAAAAACTATACTTACTTTTTGATATGACAAAAACATTTCTGTTAAAATGTTCTTTTAAAAACTTCAAACGATTTTAATATTATGCCGATTATAAAAATTTTAATAAGAAAAAACGTAAAAAAGACTACGAACTTAGAAAAATGCTAAAACATTCAACACGTGACGCCGTTAAAGTACGCCTTAGTTAACGTTCATAACATATACACATCTAATTAGATTTTATTTAAACTCAGTTGTTGCAAACTTGGTTTTGAATTTTTAATTACACTTCTTATGCGTCATAAATAATCTTAAATTCTAAATAGAAAATACGTTTATGGGCTAATTGGTAGACGCTAACTTAGACAGATATAGTCATCTTACCCCGGGAGTTCATACTCCAGTGACTTTTTTTTTCATCCCAACTTACAACAAAAGTAATTAAAAATAAATGTTATTATTGAAACAGTTTTAAACATTTCTTCCTATTTATCTTTGAACTTAACTTTATTCACTGCAAACATACTTTTGGTGTTTGTAAGCGTTATTTTACGTTTAGTATTTGTAGGAATTATTTGCACGCACGTATTTTAAACAATTATTTTTACTGTTTCATCTAAAAATCTTATTTAATTTAGTTTAATAATTTCTTAAATATAATATATATAATATAATTTAAAATATTTTATTAACCCTATTTAAATAAGTATCAAAACTCTTTCCTTTAATTTAAAAAGAATTTAAAATTAACGTAGGCTATAACGATATTTTACCCTTTCATCAACATTTATTTAAAAAGTAAATTTGGATATAGAAAAACGGGTTAAAGACTTATTATTTTAAATAAGTTAGCTTTATCTATTTAATGCTTTTCGTAAAAGCGTTTCTTTAAAGACTCTTAACAAATCATTCAAGCTGTTTTTACTGCCTAAGTTATTAAACCTGTTGTGTGTGCCAAAAATCGATACTTAATGCAAATGGAAACTTCGAGTGCTAATGGTGATTAAAGCATAAATGGTTCCTATTCATATATAATAAAAGGAAATATGAAAGACAAAGCAAAAATGATTTTTATATCCATTTAAACCAATAAATCCCAAAATAAAAAAATATAGATATTTACTTAAAAACATATTTTTCTTGATATAAAATAAAAATATAACCTTTAGTACAAATTACAAAAAAAATAATTATTCAACAGAGCTACTTATAATACAATTTAAATTGAATCATTGTTTCATAAATATTAAGCTGCTTGGCGGATTTCTTCATCCTCTACTTCTGCCATGTTTTTAAATGCAAGAGCAAATGGGTTTTCTTGATTAATTAATGTTTGCAAGAGTTGCATTAACTCATGTATACAACCATCATTACCAGGTTGTTCCATTCTGAATGACACTGCTGCATTAGGATCATAGATATACAGCTGACAATATTTGGCCAGACAACCTTCTGCAGGCCTTAAATTTCCAACACGATGCAAAATTTGCCCACAGACCCTAAAACAGAAAGGGCCATTATTTGAGGGAGGAGCTATTTCGGCAGTGAAGGAAGCAAAAGATAAAGAGGAATTATAACTCCTTATGTGTTTAAAAAAATTTTGATTTACAGCATGATCAACATGGTTTCCTGTCATTAAACCAGTCAACAATGGCGGATAAAGAGAAAGAGGAGCTAATACAACTTTTCCTGAATGGCAGCACAAAAAATGAGTTTCATTTAAAAACTTCTTTGCACTGCAATACTGACAATTATGGTTTAATTCTCCGAGGTAGTTACTCTCTATAGCAATATTATTTCTTGCTATGCGATGCATATTATACCTATTAAGTTCTCGCCTAGCCTGATTTCTTTCATTTTGATTACAATTTATTTCAGCTCGCCGGGGCTCATCTCTTTCAATTCGACGACTATTTATCTCAGCTCGCCGGGGCTCATCTCTTTCAATTCGACGACGATTTATCTCAGCTCGCCTGGGCTCATCTCTTTCATTTCGACGGCGGTTTATCTCAGCTCGCCTAGCCTGCCTTCTTTCATTTTGACGAAGTCTAATAATTTCATTTCTTAAATTATTAGACATAATTAGGCATCAAAGGAGTGTGTAAAAATGATGCCTAATATAATAAAAGTTGAAGTTTCT